CTGATAATTACTGTAGTTTTTCATTTACTACTGTAGTAACATTTTGTAATTGTCGTTATTTATCAATTTATTTCCCCCTGATTTCATTTCTTGATGTGACTGTAGTTGTAATTGTTTATGATATACTCTTTTGTTAGGTGTATTAATATTAATACAGATGTGCAATCTCAGAAAGCTTAGCAACATTTGACCTTGGCTCCATGGTGACTGCATTATTATTGGAATGTTTTTGAGAGTTTTTTTTTTTTTTCTCTTGACTGCCAAATCCATGTCAATTAAGAACTAGTCCTTGTATGTGAATAATAAACATCATGACCATGGCATTTTTTTTTTTTTTTTTTTTTTTCATATTCTGTTTGTTGATGCGAGCAAATCAGATGAGATTGAGCCAGGAGTGCAATCAATTCCCCAATTTGTTTGGGCTGGGACCTTTTCATACACTGATAAGTTTCTTTCTTGCAGCTTGTCTGCATAATCCGTGGTGTGCTTGTATACCGTGGTGTATCGCTCAAATGTGGTGCATCTTTCAGACCAATTTTATCTTCGCAATTTAAACAAGCTCCCTGTGAACACAATACAGGTTGAAAGTTGAATTGCTGAGATTATTTCATGACTGTATGGTGTACATGTTTTGTACATGCTTGATTAATCCATCTTGAAAGCCCCAGTCTCTCTCTCTCTCTATAAAGTTGTACACAATGTTTGTTCTGCACTACTTGGTTGGTATGATGGAAGTACAGTTTTCAGGTCAGATACCATCACCTGTTCTGTCTACTGCCAACGGAAACATTGTTTTTACTACCTGTAAGAAAGGATATATAAATTTTCGTTCCAAGCCAGCAGGGTTTCTATTTCCTGTTTACTGTGTCCATTTGCAGCAGTCTGAGAGCTAAAATCAGATATATGAACAGATTGCCAACTGCGTAAGTAGTGTTCTCTATACTTTTGTTATGTGGGACCTTTTCACCCTTCTATGGGGTTTCTGTAACATGTGAGGATTGATTGTAGTTTCTCCATTGGAATGTTATTTGGCAGAAATTACAATTCCAATCTTAATTTGTTTTTATGCTCTGAATTTGTTCATGTTATTTTTATGGTGAATTCTGTGATTTCATAAATGATGTTTATCGCAGTGTAAAAAGTCAGGTGTAAAACTTGTCTAATATTGTACCATCTGAAAATTTCAAAATTTGACAATTTGTATTAAAAAAAAAATTTGCCAGTATGTTTTCTTGTTTTAAGGATTCCTGTATAATCTAAATGTACAAGTACTTGGCTACAATTAGGTAATTTGTGAACAATTTTCTTCCGTCCAGTCGTGTTGACGGCCAGCTCTTTTTCTTTCCAATACATTTTATGACTTAACCCTATAAGTGCCAATGTCAACTTTCATCAGACTTGTCTCCATTAGGGCCAGTAAAACAAACTATTGAAAAATTTGCATAATGTGGCACCCAAATTTTAGTTTGAGAAATTATAGCATTCAAATGGTAAAATCATGCTTGAATTTCATTGGCAGTATTTTTTGTTTAAATTAAATTCTCAAGTTAAAATATAAATAAAAAAAAAAACTCTAATAATACAGTTCAAACCACTAAAGTGATGATACTTAATTACTTACTTTCCACCAAGTTTCTATGCTATACTTAGGTGTCTTTCACACAATTTTTTTTTTTAACTCTAGCTAGCATGTGACCAAAAAGTAAACACATTCCATTGGTAAAGTATGATTAGGATGTTTGTAGATGTCCTCCTGTTTATAATTCATACCTGTTTGTAATTAGCACATTCTACTGAAATAAACATTTAAACATGGTGGTATGAACTTAGCAGCATTGCTATAAAGATGTCACTCTGTGAGATTTGTGTTCTACCCTTACTTTGCCAGCTGCTGGAATGATTTGAGACTATGTGGATTGAATTTCACACATTATACCCCTGGTTACATGTTTGCCATTTCCATGGGTCACCAAGGGTTTCTAGTACAGTTCCTGTTTGCTAATTCTGGAATGATGACAGCCATACAGCATTCATTCAAAGTAAATCAAATCACACATTGTTGGCGTCTGATGCTATGGGTAGGGGTTGGGTAATTTGACTGCACCGCAAATCCCGATTAATACAGCATGCATCATGCTTTTTAAAAATGCAATCATACTCCCCCTGATTACAGTTAGCTCTGAAACATTTTTTTCAATTAGGTAACGGAGAGGGTTGAGAACCAATTTAATTTTCTACCATTGTCATATGATTTCTTCAATGTGATGCAGTAATACTGTATATTTATATGAAATGCTACATCTCCGTTCCTGGAGTACACTTTTCAAATGATCAGATGCATGATTGTTAATTAACACTACATCGTAACATACCCCTATGTGAAACAGTTGATTCAAATTAAAGAATCATCTTAAAATTGTCACTTGCGTTTTTGTTTGGGGGTTGAGAGAAGAGGATTTAAGGAGGAAATAAAGTTTTTAGTTGTAATTTAGTTTTTATCGAATCTATTGCCTTACAATTTGTGCTTGTTGAGTCAGTTTGTTTGAGGTAGCTATAGCTGCCATTGTGCTTTAACTGCACAGTAAACAAGTTGTCTATCTGCTATTGTTGTTTTGGTATTTGTGGTCTATTTCAATGTTTATTTGCCTCATTGACCTCTTGTACTGGGTTCATCTTCATCGTCATCATTGTTGATAGAAACTGAGTATAGAGCTGAGGAGATACTGGTATATGTAGATACTGGTACTTTCATAGTATGCTTTAATTATGAATTTAAATTCAGACAAGTATGTATGGATAGGTGTACAGTAAACAGTTTTGAGAATGACACACTTGAGAAAATTGTGCATTTTTTCCCCTGCAGTTAATATTGCAATTGGGCCCTTAAAGATAGGGAGTGACTGTAAGTATCTTTTGAAGTCTTTTAAATTATGAATTTTTAGCAAAGAAAATTTGACGATTTTACTACAATTTGAAATCTAATAGTGAGTAAAGTAAAGCGTTCTAAAAGGCTGATAATTTATGGCGTGTGGAGATAGTTACTGTGTAGTTTAATGTGTGGGAACATCAACTTAATTAGATGAATGTGGAATGAGGCACCAAAAAAGGAGTGACTCATCTGAGGTGAGTGTGTCACACACTTAAAATTTGTGTGTCAGATACACTAGCTATTTGCGTTGTTCCCTTCTGGCATCTGACTGGGCTTGGTTCAGGTCAGTACATGTAAATGATTGTGCCCATGCCTTGATGACAGAAACTAGATTAGAAAACCTAACATGTCCTGTCACCAGCTGTTCATGCAGTGTCACTTCAAAACATTTGTTAATCCAGCAATGGCTACATGCATCAGTCATCTGGATTAAAGAAGACTAAGGGTTTATTATTAAAAACTGAGGGGAGGTCCTATCAGAATGAGAAAGTTTTGAAAAAATAAATTAGTGAAAAAATATATATAAAAAAATGTAACACACATTTGTAAAAATAAAAATTTTCACAATTATTCTATCGCTTCCCCTATCAAAGATTCTAATGGTTAATTTCTATTACATCTATATTGCATGGTTTCATTTCAAGAGTGAGCTGTCTTGTGTTTTACTGTCTTCCTTATCACTCCACAGCATAGCAGACTGTAATTATACTTGACTGTTGATGATGCCTATCAATTTGATGATTTCCTCCATTTTTTCTCAGTTATTTACACCCTCCAGTGTTGAAAGTTATCTGTTTCCTCCAGTAATAATCTAATAACTATCGTGTCTTCTACTTTGTCCAATCACAGCTTATATAGTTTTTTGACATAGTAGTACAGTAAAAGTGACAAGTGAACTTTATGAAGAGACCACCTTCAACCAAATTAAAATCTAACAATCAAATCAGTGTGGTAAATTTTTAAGTCAAATTTTAGATGTGGTTTAATTTTACACAACATAGCTTTGTTTCAGCCTTTGGGTCGTATACGTACGTCATACTAAATACCATGGCGTTGCCTAGATACAGGGGATGTGTTGCTAGCGCCACAGGCTTCCATTGAGAAATCACATGTAGAATTCAGAATGACATCATCAGACATCACAATGACGTGGTGACGTTGTGTAACCTACTAACCAGATTGCCATGCCAGAAATAGAAACATACCAGCCTAGAAGTTAAGACTGACTGACCTCCGGCCTTCATAATTAGTTTTTAGTTGATTGAAATAGCAGTGTTTTGATCTTTACTCTATGGAACTCATTAATGTCTTTTTCTGTATGTTTGTTGGCGGATGTGGTGATGGAAAATATAAAATACATTCCTAAAATAGAGTCAGTGAGCTACGAGATTTTTAGTGAGGGATAACATTTTCATCTGGCTATGTGCCTAGTATTTATTGATAACTTCATTCCATGGGAACATTCTGTGAGAGTTTCTTTTGTGGTTTCATAATTTGTTATTTTTGAAAAATCTACATTCTTCAACAGATTACCCCCAAAAATAATAATCAGCCATTTTATCACCGTCATGTTTCTTTCAGAATATTTCCTGTATTTATCACCCACTTTTGTCACTACTCTTAAACCTTGATGAAAATGATCAGAACTAAAATGAAATAGTATCCAATTAGAATTGTTAAAAAGTTGATGTGTTGAGAAATAAACTACCGGTAATATAAATTGAAAAGTTAAGACCACCAGGAATGTTTGCAATTTGAACGTCTGGAATATATTGTCAAAGCTAGTCTGCAGAAAGTACATTGGTAAACAGTTAATGAGGTAATTTTTAAATGGTTTGTAGAATGTTGATAAACAGTGTACATTTTTTGAACTAAAATTCCTCTGTCAACCTCAAAAAAAACATGATCTGTTTTGACTTTATTTTTGAAAACAATTACTCATCATTACTCACAAATTTAACACTGTTGTATGTAACCAAAGAAAACCAATGATCGTTTGCTTTCACTCTGAAAATATGTATTTTCACTGATGCACATCTTATCTTATTTGTATTTCTGCTTCTTCTTTCAGCTTCCCGCTGGTGTGGATTTGACGCTGAGTGATTTACAAGAAATGGCGACCCGGCAACAACAACAGATTGAGACCCAGCAGCAAATGTTGGTTGCCAAGGAACAAAGGTTGAAATTTTTGAAGCAACAAGAGAAAAAACATCAGGTATGTCATGCTGTTTACTGAATTTAATTTTGTATATTTTTGTGAATGAAGTAAATGTTAGGACACCATTGTTTTTTCCACCAAAATGGTTGTGCAACTTTTTTTGGCATTTTCTGGTATTTTTTTTATCATTTCTTTGTAAATTTTTGACCGTATTGACATAATTTCTTGATGATACAAGTCTTGATCAAAAAAGTTAAAAATTGTTGAAAAATTATGCAAGTTTTTTCTGTGAAAGGTGGCTTAATCTTATAGTTGAAGATGGGTAGTCTTTAAAA